GTAGACCTGTTTGTTAGCTTGCAAGCTGGACGTCTATCGGGTCCCTATGACTCATTTTATATCGCTACTTGGAGAGCTTTCGGTACAATGAGAAACATACCTTTCGTTTCAAATCTATTATTTCTTCGCGGTAGACATCATTTAGCCTCGCAATCCTGATGAAATCCCTTTCTGTGTCCACCAGGCGTGCACGCAAGAGCCGATTCTCTTCTATGAGTGCATTGAGCATCACCTCGGCGGATGGATGACGAAATTCATGAGGATTTGGATGGAAATGTTGAATAGGACTGCTCGAAATGCTCTGATTTTGGCTGTCCGAATCATATGCCCCATTTACATGCCCCGTAGCTTGTGCTTGCTTCAGAGCGGTCAATTCCCTGGTCAGTTGATTCACGTGAGACTCTGACTCGGCCTCAAGGATATTCTCCAGTTGAATTTTCTCGTCCCGTAGCTATTGGTTTGGTCCTGATGAGCCCGCCTCGGACGCTGTACACTAGATGAAGTTCACTTACCTGCTCCAATTTACGAGAGAGCACATTGACAATACGCTCTTCCTCAGCCTCGTATGAATTGATGACGTTTTCTATCTCATGCATCCTAGAACCGGGTATGGAGATGGACGTCGAAAGGCGGCGAGGAATCGGTGACTCCATGTTCTGGAGTTTCGATAGAATTCACTTTTCGTCTGCCGCCCTGGTGGTAAATGTGATCGTCTCCTGTGCTCAAGGTGGTTGGGTCAAAGTGTCAGAAGTGGTTCTTGGACCTGATTCATTCACAAATTCCACCATGGCAGAATTACTGGCCGAATTGCGAAAAATTCCTCCGATGACAAGACTAGCTATGACCTCTGCAGTGGTCATAGCGGTACCCTGTTTTATGAAGCTTGCGAGCCCTTCTTGGTACGCGTTCAACTGGTCACTAATCGCCAACAAGTATCATGTCGGTATTTCATCCTCAGAATTCGCCTTGCTTTTGCTCATGATACCGAATACCCCTTAGATACATCGTTTGTATACCTCCCTATGGCTTCCATGGAGTAGGTCAGCCACGTTGTCTGTGAAGTGTGTGTGCTAATATCGAAAACCCAGCATTCGACAACCCTATAAAGTGGATCTTTGATGTTGTAATGCTCTAGTCAGTCAGCACACATTATTGTGACTCAAGCTTATACTTGTATGCTTGACAGCCGGCACCTTGAACCTATGGAGCGGAAGAACTACCACAGACGGCTGCCCGATATGGTTTGGCAGTTCTTCTGGTGTATAGCGGCTATCCAGGTGAGTAAAGGCCTCAGAATTAATCCATCTCTAAACACTGCGATGTGCCAGGTACTTTGCTATCCAATGAGACTCTTCTTTACATTCTGGACACCACTGCTTGGGTTTATTGTGTACCTATCATCGCGACTGAACCCAAATGAAATGGTTTCGTTCTTTGGAATATTCAGCATAAGGTGAGAGGCTTCAGGTCTGGAATGAAATATCTCGCTTATATGTCAATCTAGCATCAGATATTTCCCATACATCCTTGTCGCCTTTGACATGACCATGAGTCCGCTCGTAGGCTGCGGAACTCTTGCTGGACTGGCTGTTGGTCAAGCCCTATTCATGGCAGAGTGGGATGCACCTCCAGAGTCGTACGGCCCTACCGAACCGCGCCTGAAGCCAGCCACCGTCTGGAGAGCTCCTGGTTGGTTGAGCAGACTATTGGCTGAGCCAGGAGCCGAGAATAGGACTGGTACAGTCAAATCTGTCTATGGACAAGTCGTCACGCCGGCTGGGAGGGGTCTTAATGACACTGGGAAGGGTGCCAATACTCCAAGCTATAATTGGGGAAAAGGCCAAAAACTAGGGTCGTGATTTATAATTATTCAGTAGACCTGTTTGTTAGCTTGCAAGCTGGACGTCTATCGGGTCCCTATGACTCATTTTATATCGCTACTTGGAGAGC